ATGTACCTACCCTTCGTCTGTTCGCATTGCAGCCTGACGTGCTCGGCGTCGCCAGCGCCAAGTTCTACGGGGAGGTGAACGACGCCGCCCCCTAGCATTGGACGTTTCGAGCTGCTGCTGATCATCGCGGCATCGACTCTCTGCGAGACGTGGAAGGCCCAGCGCGCCCCTCGCGGCAGGCTGCCCTGGCAGAGCGGCTGGATGCGGTGAAGTTCCTCTACCCAGCTGACCAGGGGGACCCGCGCCCCGACCCGGTCAGGGCCAAACGCATCACACAGGTGCTCGCTGCTTGGACGGACTTCAGACGCAAGAGCCTCGCCCACGCGGATTCGTTCTCGTTCGCAAAGGAGAGAATATTCGATTTCTTTGCCGGCGTTACAGACGACCTGTCGAACCTCTATCTGACGTCCGTGTGCATGCCCAACTTCGGGAATACGTGCTACCTCAACGCCGTGGTGCAGGCCCTGATCCACTGCGAGCCTTGGAGGCTTCGGGGTCTTTCAATCCAAACGAGCACGTCGTTCCGCACAGTTGCTCGGGCGCTGCGAGTCCCATGACACATCGCGTTGCGTTTTGAAAAGCGGCCCTGGGCTACCGCTGAGCCCCCAAGTTCAGTGCTCCGTTACCATGGCGAGCGACTCCAGTCGTTGGGTACCATATGATTCACAAACACGCCCCCCCCCCCCCTGCCCCGCATTCATGGGACTTGGTCGCGTCGAGAGCACGGTGCGTCTGCGTCTGCCAGGCTGGAGATTCTTCGCAGCGGCGAGGCCGACCTGATGCCGCTCGGCCAGTGCCTGAGGCGCCACGTTCTCTCGTATGCCCAGGCCTCAGACGACCTCTGATCTCGATCCTTTCTGGCCCAGTTCCAAGGGTTCTTCCACGCGGGCGATTCGGCGTGCGCCTGGAGATTTTCCATTGAAAGGCTTCGCCAATCGCAATGCCCAGAGGCTTTCCGTCAAAGGGCGAGTCTGGCAATTTGGGATGTTTGCACGAGCAGTGGAAAGGACAGCTTCAAGACGGTCAGAAATTAATTCTCCTTTCTAAAAACAGAATAGGATCTAACCCCCCCCGGCGTTATCGGTCCTCCTTTCGGGTATGTAAATCACATCTGATTCTGACCACATGTCCATCCTAAATATGAAATCACAATGTCCCAGGCCAACCGGGTTCCCCCCCTGAGGGCCCCCTTTTTTTGTAAAAAAAAAACACCAGGCGGTGACATTTTTTGTTCTAACATAGCACTTGTTCGCGAATCCCTTGCAAAAAAAATGAGACGAAGTGCGCACCCGCGCGTCGTCGCGCGCGCATGCCGAAAGCCTTCAAAGTCCTTCGGTGTTGGAAGGATTTCGCCATCGAGTTTCCAAAAAACATACAAAAACACATAGTTTCGCAACACTGATTTGCTAAAAAAGCTTCCGCGCGAGATCTTGCGAAATCGTAAGAAAACCATAGGCTTTTCAAGATGTTCACAATCGGCTATTAAACGGACTTCGCGCGCGCGCATGTCGAAATCTGTCGAACGCCCTTGCGCGTGTGCCGTCGCGAGAATCCTCTGCAAAGAATGGGACGAAGTGCAGACGCGCGCGTCGTCGCGCGCGTATGCCGAAATCTTTCAAAACCCATAGGTTTCGGAAGGATTTCAAAATCGTGTGTTTAAAAAACCTACAAAAGCCCAGGGTTTCGCAACACGGATTCTCAACAAAAGCGTGCGCGCGCGCTCTTGCGTCGTCGGCGTCTTCCTTCCTCCCTCGTCGTTGTCGTCGTCGGCGTCGCCGTCGTTCCTCCTTCTTCGTCGTTCGCGTCGTCGCCGTCCTCCCTCCTCCCTCGTCGTTGTCGTCGTTGTCGTCGTTGTCGCCGTCGTCGTCCTCCCTCCTCCCTCGTCGTCGTCTTCGTTGGCGACGTCGTTGTCGTCGTCGTCGTCGTCGTTGTCTTCGTCGTTGTCGTCGTCGTCGGCGTCGTCGTCGGCGTCGTCGTCGTCGTTGTCATCGTCGTCGTTGTCATCGGTTTCGGAAGGATTTCAAAATCGTGTGTCCAAAAAACCTACAAAAACCCAAGGTTTCGCAACACGGATTTTCAACAAAAGCGTGCGCGCGCGCGCTCTTGCGTCGTCGTCGTCGTCGTCGTCATCGTCGTCGTCGCCGTCCTCCCTCCTCCCGCGTCGTCGTCGTCGTCGTCGTCGTCGTCGCCTACGGCGTCCTCTGTCTTTCCTCGTGTTCGTCGTCGTCGTCCTCTTTGGCGTCGTCGTTGTCGTCGTCGTCGTTGTCGCCGTGGTCGTCCTTCCTCCTCCCTCTCGTCGTCGTCGTCGTCCGTCGTCGGCGTCTCGTCATCGTCCCTTTCGTCGCCGTCGTCGTTGTCGTCGTTGTCGTCGTCGTCGTTTTCCCTCCTCCCTCGTCGTTGTCGTCGTCGGCGTCGCCGTCCTTCCTCCTTCTTCGTCATTCGCGTCGTCGCCGTCCTCCCTCCTCCCAGAGATCACACCATTCGACGCGGATGGTTGTTCAATACTTGTCATTTTCCTTCTCGTTTTCCTTCTTCTCCCTTTTTTTTGGTCGGGCCTCTCCTCGTGTTGTGGCTCTGTCTTTTTCGCTTTTCCTTCTGCGTAGACGCTGTATGGGTAATCCGCAGCATCCGCGTTGCCTGCTTGCCTGTCTGTCCTGTTTTACTTGCGCCTCCGCTTGCCAGTGTCGCTTGCCCGCTTTGCTGGCAGTCCGTGGTTGCGACTGAATGCAGGCCTGTGGCGAGTGCAATTGCGCCGCTAGGGAAGCGTCGTGGTGTCGTCTCGTGACCGGTCGCACCGAGTGCGTGGCCCAATTGTCCATGCGCACGCATTGGACCACTCCAGTCGGGCGGGACTAGGACAGCAGCTATCGGCCACGCGGCTGGGACAGATATTTGCTTTTAGGGGCCGAGTTTCGTGACATAAGCTTCGGCTGACTCGGCAGCCGAGGGCGGATGCACAGAATTTTCTGCTTGGTGGAGTCTTCTTCCCATCAGTTGGGAATCCTCCCTCGTCGTTGTCGTTGTCGTCGTTGTCGCCGTCGTCGTCCTCCCTCCTCCCTCGTCGTCGTCTTCGTTGGCGACGTCGTTGTCGTCGTCGTCGCCGTCGTCGTTGTCTTCGTCGTCGTCGTCGGCGTCGTCGTCGTCGTCGGCGTCGTCGTCGGCGTCGTCATCGTCGTCGTCGTCGGCGTCGTCGTCGTCGTCGGTGTCGTCGTCGTCGTCGTCGTTGTCGTCGTCGAAGTCGTTGGAGACGTCGTCGGTGTCGTCGTCGTCGGTGTCGGCGGCGCCGTCGTCGTCGTTGTCGCTGTCGTCGTCGGCGTCGGTGTCGTGGCCAAGTGCCATGTGGTACCTACCATCACGGTCTTGTCTTAAGAGGTCATGCGACCAAGTTGCGGGTGGGAGGGTGGGATGTTTGCACGAGCAGTGGTGAGGACAGCTTCAAGACGGTCAAAGTCGATGCACCACATAGATAGCACCATGTAGACCTCACCACATAGCTTGCACCGCATGACATGACTCGCATGTGTTGCGCCACGTGAATTTCATGTCATAGATTGTGCCACATCGGGTGCACCACCACTTCGAATGCACAACGTAGATTGCCGCACATGAATTGCACACTATGTTGTTCAACACACATTGCACAACATCGGTTGCCCCACTTAGACTGCACCGGGTCGCTTGCACAGCATCGAAGGAACCGCACATATTGCACCTCATGTGTTACACAACAGAGATTGCACCACATATATTGCGCACTAGGGGCACATTGTTTTGGATCCACGCTGGCTGACACACACACACGCAACACACAACCACACACACACCCACGGACGCGCACACACACGCACATGCACGCACGCGCGCGCGCACGCACGCACACACACATACACACGCACGCACGAACGAACACACGCACGCACGCTGGAACGAACGCACGCACGCACACACATACACGCACGCACGCACACACGCACGCACACACACACACTCACACACAAGTGCACACACAAAACACACAAGCGCAAGCACACGCACATGCACAACACCGCACACACAGACACAAACGCACACAGACACTCGCAAACACCTCCACACACCCACACACACCCGCACACACTCACGCACCCACACAGCACACACAACACAGACAGCACGTACACACACACACACGCACGCACGCACGCACTCACACACAAATACACACATACACGCATACATATATACAATACACACCATAAAAATCGAATGCAAACATGCGCTACACATACCGTGCACACATGCAGTGCACACATACAATACACACAATACACACAATACATACATGCACACACATACACAAACACATATACATACACACATACACATATACACCCATACACACATACACACACATAGATATACACATGCACACATACACAGAAATCGCACATACACATCGACACATAGCACACATAACATACATGCACACATACACATACATATATACACATACATACACATACACACATGCGCATCCACACAAACACATATATATATATATACATATATATATATATAGACTTATACACACATATATACATATGCATAAACTACATATGCACACACATACACACATACACGAGTACACACATACACACATACACACATACACCCATATACACGTACACTCGTAGACCCATACATACACACATGCACACATACTCACATACACACATTCACGCATTCTCTCACATGCACACATACGCACGTACACATATACACACATGCACATGCACATGCACATACACATGCACATATACATACACATACACATACACATTCACATACACATACACATACACAGAGAGAGCGAGAGAGAGAGAAATAAACAAAGGCGCGAATGGACGCAGAGGGAGGGCGGTGGTAGCCTGACGGAGGTAGGCTCGTGGTGGTGGAGGCGCCGGGGGCAGTGGCCCAGAGCCAGGGCAGGAGTGGCCCGTGGCCCCGCCCTCGGCCGGCAGGACCTGCGCCTCTCCGAGGTCGACGAGGGGCACCGCCGCCTGACAGCGGCGGGGCTGCGGGGGCCCGTGCGCTCCTCGCCCTCCTTGCTGGCGCACGCGACAAGGACGACACCGACAAGGACCAGGATCTCCGACGATATTCTGTCAATATGTTTTTCCCCACATCCAAAGTGGGGTTCTTGTTTTCTTTGCACACGCCGCGCAGGATCTCACACACCCCCTTTCCTCTCTCTCTCTCTCTCTCTCACTCACCATCATCGCCATCATCATCACCATCAACCACCATCATCGTCATCACACGCACACGCTCATCATCATTACCATCATCATCACCATCAACCACCATCACCGTCATCACTAGTCATCATAATCATCCTCATCATCATCGTCACCATCATCACCACTCGATCACCCACTCACTCACTCAATTACTCACTCATCCTCAGTCGGCTTCGGAGGCAGTGGTCCTCCGACGGTAGGACCGCCGCCACTCTCAACATCATCGTCACCATCTCCATCATAATCTCTCGATCACCCACTCAGTGGCCACCATCATCATCATCATCCTCATCATTATCATCCTCCTCCTCCTCCTCCTCCTCATCATCATCATCATCACTCATTCATCACACACTCATCATCATCATTCGCTCGCTCATCATTTCGTCATCAGGCGGGAGCCTCTGAGTGAATTGCGAGGAAGTCTCAGGCGGGAGCCCCCTCCTTATGGGGCCCGCAGATCATGTTATTAATCCGAGCGGGTCATCGGAACCCTGTAACTGTCGTCACTTTTGGGCCTCTGAGGGTTGAATATGCAGGAAGTATCAGGCGGGAGCCTCGTCTGTGAGTGAATTGCGGGGAAGTCTCAGACGGGAGCCCCCTCCTTATGGGGCCCGCAGATCATGGTACTAATACGAGCGGGTCATCGGAACCTTGTAACCGTCGTCACTTTTGGGCTCTTGAGGCTTGAATATGGAGGAAGTATCAGGCGAGAGCCTCGTCTGTGAGTGAATTGCGAGGACGTCTCAGGCTGGAGCCCCTCTCGTTATCGGGCCCGCCGATCATGTTACGAATCCGAGCGGGTCATCGGAACCTTGTAACTGTCGTCACTTTTGGGCTCTTGAGGCTTGAATATGCAGGAAGTCTCGAGCGGGAGCCTCGTCTGTGAGTTAATTGCGAGGAAGTCTCAGGCGGGAGCCCCCTCCTTATGGGGCCCGCAGATTATGTTATTAATCCAAGCGGGTCATCGGAACTTTGTAACTGTCGTCACTTTTGGGCCTCTGAGGGTTGAATATGCAGGAAGTATCAGGCGGGAGCCTCGTTTGTGAGTGAATTGCGAGGAAGTCTCAGGCGGGAGCCCCCTCCCTATGGGGCCCGCAGATCATGTTATTAATCCGAGCGGGTCATCGGAACCCTGTAACTGTCGTCACTTTTGGGCCTCTGAGGGTTGAATATGCAGGAAGTATCAGGCGGGAGCCTCGTCTGTGAGTGAATTGCGGGGAAGTCTCAGACGGGAGCCCCCTCCTTATGGGGCCCGCAGATCATGTTACTAATGCGAGCGGGTCATCGGAACCTTGTAACTGTCGTCACTTTTGGGCTCTTGAGGCTTGAATATGAAGGAAGTTTCGAGCGGGAGCCTCGTCTGTGAGTGAATTGCGAGGAAGTCTCAGGCGGAAGCCCCCTCCCTATGGGGCACGCACTTCATGTTCGAACCCGAGCGGGTCATCCGAACGAGCTTTTTGGGCTCCTCAGCTCCTGCGGCCTGAACACGGGGGAAGCATCAAGGGGGAACTTTGTTTGTGGGCGGTGCGGGTAGCCCCGTCAGAGGACCGTCTCCTGTCGTCACTTGGAGGTCTGAGGACGGATTTTAGAACTCGTTCCTGCGGCCCACAAAAAACGCCTGCGCCAGGGATGATGACGCTGGCCGCACGGGCATGTCGGACGAGATGTGGTGGCTGCACCTCTACGTCATGTTCTCCCGCGCCACGTGCATGCGGAACATGCTGATCCTGCGGCCGCCCGCGCGAGTTCCTGGAGCGCGGGCCGCCGGCGTCACTGCGGAAGGCGCTCCAGGAGTTCGACAAGAGAGCGGTGGATTCCAGGGCTGAGGCGGAGCAGCTCGCGGCAGAGCTGGGCTTCGCGCTGCCGCCCGCCTGAGCGCCGCGGCGCGCACCTAGAGGCCCGCGGGGTTGTCCCAACGGCTGGCTCCCGCGCCCCTGCGGCCTGCGAGGTTGCCCAACGGCCTGGCCCGAAGGGTTGCCCCGACGGCTTCGCGATCTAGCCGTCACGACCAGGGGGAACGGGAGGTGCACATGGAAAAGAAGCAGGGGGATGAGGAGGGAAGGGTCACGGGGGAGGGCGGCGACGAGGAGGAGGTGGCGCGAGAGGAGGAGGAGGAGGAGGAGGAGGAGGAGGAGGAGGAGGAGGAGGAGGAGGAGGAGGAGGAGGAGGAGGAGGAGGAGGAGGAGGAGGAGGAGGAGGAGGAGGAGGAGGAGGAGGAGGAGGAGGGAGGAGGGAGGAGGAGGAGGAGGAGGAGGAGGAGGAGGAGGAGGAGGAGGAGGAGGAGGAGGAGGAGGAGGAGGAGGAGGAGGAGGAGGAGGAGGAGGAGGAGGAGGAGGAGGAGGAGGAGGAGGAGGAGGAGGAGGAGGAGGAGGAGGAGGAGGAGGAGGAGGAGGAGGAGGAGGAGGAGGAGGAGGAGGAGGAGGAGGAGGGAGGAGGAGGAGGAGGAGGAGGAGGAGGAGGAGGAGGAGAGGAGGGAGGAGGAGGAGGAGGAGGAGGAGGGAGGAGGAGGAGGAGGAGGAGGAGGAGGAGGGGGAGGAGGAGGAGGAGGAGGAGGAGGAGGAGGAGGAGGAGGAAAAGTAGGAAGAGGAATAGAATGAGGAAGAGAGGGCAGTGCAGAGGGCGAGAGGAGAGGGTGTCCGCCAGGGGGAGGAGGAAAGGGCAAAGGGTAAGCTAAACAGATTCTCGTGTGGGGTCCTACCGTTGGAGTAATTTTCCTCGACCTCGCCCTCTGGGGCCCTATCTGGCCCCAGAGCCATCAAAATAGGTCCGGGGCGGAACACTGACCCCGGAAAAGGGCTCGGGACCTGTGGGGCGCGCGCTGAACAGTCATATCGGCGGATGTCCGGGGACTGGGGCCCCGAGACGAGGACGGCGACGGCGTGAAAGTCTCGAGGTGCTGCTGCTTACGGTGTTGTCGCGCCTGCCTCTGCCGTTGCTCCTGATGCTTTTGCTGACTCTGCTGCTCTTCCGCCTCATGATCTCGGTGGCGCGCAAAACGGGGTGGCGCCAGGGGGGGGGGGGGCGGCCCTCTGAGAAGGCGGGAGGGGCTTCTTAGAAGGAAGGGGACTTGTCAGAAGCCCCCCTGGCTTGTGCAGGAAGCCTCCTGGGAGGCTCCCGGGCCCCCGTGCGTGCCGCCCGTCCCCGCTCCGCGCACCAATTTCGTGGTGCTGGCGACGCAAGCCCGCCCGCCTAGCGACGGCCAGGTCGGTGCCCGGTCTTGGCCGGGCCCACGCTGCGCCCAGAATCGGTGTCTGAGCCCTCCTGGCGTGGCCAGGGAGGCTTGTGCTCCTGCCCGCCCCCTCTTATCATTATTGACAGTGCATTGCTGGGGCAAAATTCAACCCTCCCGCCCGAACCCCTATGTACACCCGTGCCAACGACGACGAGTAACGACGAGTGGCGACAACTGACTGCAAGCAGCGACAAGTTCAGGCGCACGCGGGGGCACTCGCGCTCATGATCATCAATATCTGGCCCACGTGGTACAGGCAGAATGCCCTCAAATGATTCGCGTCGGAGCGCTTGGGAACGTTTGGGGGTACTAGTGGATGTCTAAAGATTGCTGTTTGATTTTTCCAGACTTCATTCCTAGTTCTGAATGTTTCCCATGTTCTCCAGATGCCCAGCGGATTTGTGATTATTATCCCGCGGAATTCTAAGGATGTTCTTAGGGTGTTTCAGGATGCCCTTACGATGTCTGCAGCTTTCTAACACATCTCTGCAAACGAGCAGCTCGTGTCCGCCGATTGATAGTTCTTTCATCGTATAGAGGGGGAGTCTGATTCTACCCCGCTCCGAAGTAGCTAACATGGCAGGAGATATGGAGCGAGAGCGCAGTTTCTGTTTCGATAAGACGATGTTGAAATCAGCCGATATCCACCGAATCTGTTCTACCAGGGAATGGAGGGCGGCGGGTCGCGGTCGGGAAGCGGCCCCGGGTCGGCTCCCAATCGGGTGGGAGAGGTATTTTTTTGTTGTTTCTCTCTCTCTCTCTCTATAGCTCTCTCTCTCTCTCTCTCTCTCTCCCACTTATTATTCCTCTTTGTTTTTTCTCCAACCGTCCTGTGGTGTTGGGTCCTCGTTTTGAAGAGACAGAGCCTTTCGTTCCCTCCTCATTCCTTCCTCCTCCTCCCCCTCCTCCCTCCTCCGCCTCTGTGCCTCTGCCCTCCGCATGTCTCTGTTCTGGCACACCCCTCATGCGTTTCGTGGCCCCATAGGGAGCTCCACCGAAGGCCCCAGTGGCAGGGTTCGCATGGCGGCCATAGGGAGCTCCACCGAAGGCCACAGTGGCAGGGGTACGCATGGCGGCCCCGCCCCATGTCGGCACAGCCCTCACACGTTTCGTGGTCCCACTGGGGGATTCCACCGAAGGCCCCAGTGGCAGGGTTCGCATGGCGGCCCCGCCCTCTTTCGGCACACCACTTTGACGTTTCGTAGCTCCATAGGGAGCTCCACCGAAGGCACCAGTGGCAGGGTTCGCATGGCGGCCATAGGGAGCTCCACCGAAGGCCCCAGAAGCAGGGTTCGCATGGCGGAGTTCGGCACACCGTGGCAGGGTTCGCATGGCGGCCCCGCCACATGTCGACACACCCCTCACACTTTTCGTGGCCCCATGGGAAGCTCCACCGAAGGTCACAGTGGCAGGGTTCGCATGGCGGCCCCGCCTTCATTTCGGCACACCTCTCGCACGTTGCGTGGCCCCATGGGGAGCGCCACCGGATGCCCCAGTAGCAGGGTTCGCATGGCGGCCCCGCCCCAGCTCGGCCCCCCCCGTACGTTTCGTGGCCCCATAGGGAGCTCCACCGAAGGCCCCAGTGGCAGGGTTCGCATGACGGCCCCGCCCCATTTCGCCACCCCTCCCCCCCTCCCGCACGTTTCGGGGCTCCATATGGGAGCTCCACCGGATGCCTCGGTGGCAGGGTTCGCATGGCGGGCCCGCCCAATTTCGGCACGCCCTCCGCTCCTGGCCCGATATGGGGGCTCCCCACCGAGGGCCCCAGTGGCAGAGTTCGCATGGCGGCTCCGCCTCCTCTGCGGCACACCCCTCACACGTTTCGTGGCCCCACTGGGGGGTTCCACCGAAGGCCCCAGTGGCAGGGTTCGCATGGCGGCCCCGCCCCATTTCGGCACAGCACCAGGACGTTTCGTGGCCCCATAGGGGCCCCATTGCAGGCCTCAGCAGCAGGGTTCGCATGGCGGCGTCGCCTCCATTTTCGCGCACCTCTCACACGCCCCGTGGCCCCATGGGGAGCGACACCGAAGGCCACAGTGGGAGGGTTCGTATGCCTTCCTCTGTTAATGTGGACACACCACTCACGTTGTGCGTGGCCCATAGCGAGCTCCGCCGAAGGCACCTGTGGCAGCGCCCGCATGCGCCTCCTCAGCCCACTTCGGTACACGTTTCGGAGTTCCCATCTGCGTTGCCCCGTGCTTCATCCTTGCCGCGGCGCGCTGCCTACGATGAGAAGGTCGTATCGTGCGTTGCCAGCGGTTGCATGTGGTTGAGTCCTTCGCCAGGCTCTCTTTCTCTCTCTCTCTCTCTCTTCTACACTTCTCTCTCCTTCTCTCTCTCTCTCTCGCTCTATATATATATATACACCTCGCGCGTACATATCCACACACATACACCATGTATAGCTCTGTGTGTACCCATGCATGCATGAGTACACGTATGCGTGTATCATTCATGTATGCATGCATATAGGATGTACACATGCTGGTATGTATGCATATGTGCATGTAGTTATGCACGTATGTGCGCCTGCATGACTGCATGTATGTATGTATAACTGTAAGTATGCTTGCATGTACCCATGCATGCACGCATGCATACATTTATGTATGTATGTATGTAGGGATGCAGGTATGTACACATGCATGCATGGCATGCGTGTATGCGTGCCTGCTTGCATACACACAAGTCTGTATGTACGTATGCATGCATCTATATATATATATATACACATGCGCATATATGTGTAGTTGTGCGTACACGCATGTATGTATACATGTATGTATGCATACACGCATATGTATGTATGTATACATGCATGCATGCATGTATGTACGTGTGCATGCACGCATGCATTTATACAGGCATGCGTGTGTGCATGTATGCATGTATGTATGTATGTGTGGCTGTACGGGTACATGCGTGTATTCATGTATGCATGTATGTACGTATGCATACATGCATGCGTGTGCGTGCGTATGCATGCATGTACATATGTAAGTCTGTACGCATGTGTGTATGTATGCGTGCATGAATGTAGGTAGGTCGGTCGGTAGGTAGATAGGTACGTATGTATGCACGCATCCATGTATGTCTGTATCTGTGTGTGCATGTGTGTATGCGTGTATGCGCGAATGTACGCAAGTATGCATGCATGCATGTACGTATGTCTGTCTGTCTGTATGTCTGTAAGTCTGTCTGTCTGTCCGTCCGTCTGTCTGTCTGTCTGCGTGCAAACATGCATGCATGCATTTATGTATGTATGTATGTATGTATGTGTGTATGTGTGTATGTGTGTATGTGTGTACTTATATATATATATATACATGCATGATTTTTGTAGGGATGTATACATGTATGTCTGTATGTACGCACGCGTATATGTATGTATGTTTATGTTTATGTACATGTATATGTACATGTACAAAAAATGTCCATGTATACGTATATGTCTATTGTATGTACAGGTTTGTGCATATGTAAATGTATATGTATATGTACATGTGCACGTATATGTATATGCATATGCCTATATGTGTGAATGTGTACATGTATATATATACATATGCATACATGTGTATGTAAATGTATGTGTATATGTTTATGCATTTGTAGTTGTAGTCTGTATATATATATATATGTACATGTATATTGCTATGCGTATATATATATATATATATGTGCGTGTATGCATGTGTGTACGTATGTATGTAGCTATTCAGTGACATCAGGATCTCGCATTTGATTATGCCATTCCATCTCATGTCATGCTGCATGATAGATAAAGGATTTGTCGCGCAGTGCACCAGAACGCAGGGATGAGGCCAGCAGGGGGCGGAAATGCAGGCAGTTCTTCTGGCCTGTGCCAGCCCGTGCGCCCATTGCATCAGAACGCGTGCGCCCGCAGCAGCATCGTGTGTACCGAGCCGGGGCCCAGGATCGGCTCAGCCAGGATCGGCGAAGTGGTCAGTCGACGTCCTCGAACCCTGGGGTCGTCCGGTCTTCTCCGTTCCACGGCTCAAATGGGCTTGTGGCGTGCGCCGCTCGCTCGCCCAGCGCCTCCCGCGCCCCCGCCTCCCTCGACGACTGCTGCGGCTGTCGCCCCCGCTTCTCCTGGCGGAAATACGTTTCTGGGCTGCTGGCATTTCCGAGGAGGACTAACAGGATGCAAAGTATGGTGTTTTTGTCGAAGGCGAGGGCGCCCAGGGCGTAGCTGAGGCACAGGGCTGGCAAAATCCACCAGCCGGTCTGGAGGCGCGCCATCCTTGCGTGGGTCGTAATGTTTCAAGGGCCAGAGCACCCAGCGCGCCATGGGAGCACGGTGCCTGACCGGACCTAGCTTTAATCTGACAACCTAGCTTGACCTGACAGGAGGGCTAGAAAAGACACTAGCACCAGGACATTTGAGCCTGAAATCTTGGTCGATATTTCAGGCAGTCCTGATCGATCTTTAGGTCTAGCGGGCTATCTTTAGCACTCGGGGATGACAGGTCTGGGGGCGCGCGCCACATGCGGGCCAGATGCAGGCCAGCTACGTGTAACGGTGACCCGTCGCTGGAGTGACTTTTTGGTGCGGGACCACGGGGATCCCGTTAGCACTGGTTGGCGCGCTCGGATTGCTTGGATTTGGCCTCCCCCGCAGCCTCCTGGAGCCGCGCACCAAATGCCTCCCTTGTCTGGATCCACCAACGCAAGCAGCCAGCCCGGGCCACGGAGGGCCCTGAGACCGTCGTGCCCCGCCGCCTTGCAGAGCCGTGCCGTCTTCGGGGTGCGGGACTGGCGCTCGAAGGGGGGCGGGCGCCGAGCGCCAGCCAGGTCTGGGGCCCTGGGGAGGCCTGGGGCGCTCTCCGCCCCTCCGAGCACCGCGGCGGTGCTCGTGTGTTGCCCTGCCCCGCCTTCAGGGGCAACGTTCGGGGGGGATGGGCTCCGGGAGCGACGCGTCGACCCCCAACCGCCCGCTTATCGTCGAGGACCAGGACCGTTCGGATTTGTTATTGGGCGCCTGTCCCCGAAGTATCGGCGATGTATCACCGACTCCAGCTCGGTGTTTCTTCCCCGGAGCCGGTCCACCCTGACGTCCCCCCGCATGCTCTTGCCGCCACGAACTTGCCAGACAAAACGGCACTGAGGATTTGATCCACCACTTCTGGTGCCATGGCCCCCAGTCAAAGAGCTTGGGGAAGTTTGGCAGGACGGCGTCTCCTCCACGAGGGCGACCTTGTCGTCGTTTTTCACGTCCTTTTCCTTCTCGTCGCCCTCCTCCTTCCTTCTCGTCTCCTCCTCTCCTTCTCCTTCTTTTGTCAGCGCCCTTCTAATGCGAGCTTCGAACTGGAAGTGGTTCGCCGTCCTCGTCGTCGTCGTCGTCGTCGTCTTCGTCCTCCTCCTCCTCCACCTCCTCCTCCTCAGTCTGGCAACTTCTGACAACATCGGGCAGCACTAGCTGCAAGTTTCGGGGGGGGGGCCTTCCCCGATCCGTGGG